AATCTAGTGTAATGACACAGAAGCAAGAGATGTTTTTCTAGCGTACAGTTCCATAGTTTTGCTCGGTCACGTGCAACCACATTGGCAAATAGCAAATTAGTGAATCGAAAATATCAGAAATTAGGAAATGAAAATTGATCGATCGACCGAATTCTTCAGCTTAGCCTTGAAGTCATCTCCCAACTGTACTCCATGAATTGAATAAAGATTAAGAACCACTGTTCTACGACGATCACTTACCAAGTTGAATCACGTTCAAGTACAGGTAACCGATTATCCATCGACAGGATGAAAACACGCGCATCGCGGTCCGTTTGAAAGGTGCCATTTCGTTCGATCCGCGAAAATCTGTTCGATCCGCCCGGAAGACGGATGACCGTGCGATCCACGGCATAGATGAGCCACGCACTGAAGTGGCCCACATATTAAACAGCGGAATATCTCGCCCAGCCAGTCGCATAATATGTGGGACCCATCAGTATCGGGTGCAAGGGAGCGAACGAGCAAGCGAGCAAGAGGAGAGAAAAAGAGGAAGAGCAATGAAACGAGGAACAGGGATGGATGGATGAGCCGAAGAACGGTGCCCGTATGATTTCCCCTACTCGCGAACGAATGAATGACGCCATTCGTTAAATTGCGACCAAGATCCGGATGTGTCGAATCTCGAGTGTTCATCGTGGCTTCGAGAAAACGCGGGAAGTCGGCCCTTTTCGCGGACCATTTCACATTATCGCGTTGCGGATGTTTTTGTGCTACTCGGATCGGTTTAGGAAAACAAGTCGATTCTTTTGGCGATCGGTTTTTCGCCTTTTTCTATGTTGGACCGTGTATTTGTGTATTCGTAATGAAAATATTGGATTGGATGACAAGTATTGTAGTTTTTAAAGAAGTCTGGAGAGAGGTTTGATTTTATTTCATTAGGTTCATTTTAATATTCGTTGGTCATTTTGTATTTTTTAGTGGGTTGCAGGGGATTTATTTGAATATTCTTTGCTATATTGAAATGTAAATGTTTGTTTAAAGGTTTGTGATTGATTTAGTGGTAATCTGTTGATGGCAAATTATATGCATTTACAGTATTTATAAGGGTACGAAATTTAAGAAAGTTAAGTTAATAAATTTTTTTAATTATTAATAGAAAATTTAAATGAATACCTCTTTAAGATACTAATAAAAAATCTAAGTTAATAACTTTTCAAGTTATTAATAAGGAAACTAAGGTATAACTGTTTAAGGTTATTAATGGAAAATTCATTGTCCTAAGATAATTCCTATCTATAATGCTGGTTTACACAGTCGGGCTTCATTGAAAAAAGGGTTTCCACCCCTCTGAATGTCCCATGGGGTTGGTCGGACATTGAAAGAATTAAAAAGGATAAAGAATCCATATGAACCTACATTCACGCTGTTAATTATATGTATTCTACCTCGCTGCATTGAATTTTATTGGAGCATGAAATCTTCCTTCTAATTATACGCATCTTTTGAATAATCAAGAATCGAAATTTTAGTAGGGTGTACGAACTTATAAATAACCCTAACTCTAGTCAGATCGATAAAGCTACCTTACACGCCCAGTTTTCGAGTAATATAACAGAAATCTAATCTTCCATTGACACGAGATAAAATTTCCTTCTCTTCGTCAATTCTCCGTTTATGCAATTCATTTTCCCCTCGCAACCGCTCACGTCACATTGGCACAGTGCATCCGTTTTAATTTTGGGAGACTCTTGGTAAACGGAGCGTCCCCATTGAAGCTTGAACTCTCTCGACACTGAAAACTTATTGTTAGACCGTCCTAAAAACGTCCGTCTTTCCAACAAGCTTCCGGATATTTAAAAAATCATTGCCCCAATTTCTTCTCCTCGACAAAGTGCAACAGTGTTCAACTAAGGAGTCCATTTATTTCCAAATACCAACAAATTATCAGAGAAATTTATTATAAAAATAGAAAGTTCACCAATTTTCCTACATAAATGTCCAAATAAAAAAATTCATTCAACTTAACTTTGCACCAGAAATTCAATATTAAATTCTATACAAAGCAACAGTATATGAAACGAAGGAATAAAATAGTTTTGTCCCTCAACCGATGCAAGAATTTTCTTTACGGTAGTTGCAAATAATATTATCCACATCTCATCAGAGAACAACGAATATTCCTAACGAAAATTACTATCGAGTGCTCAGGGTTTACACTCGATTTACGAAACGAGTCAATGTCACTTATATTAAATTCGTAAACATTATTTGATACAGATTAGCGTCGATTTTAATGAATCTAATCACACAAATATACATACCAATTACTTATTTTTAAATCTCTAATTTTCAAGATCCAAACGAACGAACATTAATTTGTATTAATTTTAAATTCGTAAACCCACCGTTAATAAACAACCGCAACGAAGATCCTTCAACAACTGCCAACCCTCGAACACGTTAGAACGGAAAAATTCCGCGAAATTTCCGAGGATTTAATTCCATCGTAGATAAGACACGAACGCGCGATAACGTAACAATATGAGAAACTTCCAGCGGCGTGGCCGGCTTAACGCGTTCCAGTAAGTGAAAAATTGTAGACTGATACGGGGTGGGCAGCGCAACGAACACGCGAATGAAGATAGAAAAAGGGGGAAAAAAAAAGCCGGCGAGGGAAAAATAAAACGAGAAACTTCCACGGGGCAGAGCAAACATCGCGTGACTTGTCGTTGTAAGTTTATGTCGCGGTTACCATTTCTCTCTACGGGAACGCACTTTATGGAGGATATTATCGTTCTAATACCCCGCAGAGCCGGCTGCTAAGGGACTCCTGGAATCTTCAAGGATCTCATCCTCCCCCACACACCCTCTTTCGAAGCGAGCCACAAATTTCGCGTATTCTTTGCGCACGAGCTATGAAAATATGGAAAACCGAGCTGCTCCTCTTACTATCGTTTTTATCCGGGACCTAATACACAATGCTTTTAGAGGAGAATCCTCTCTAGTTTATAGGCTGTTGTTACTTCTTACTGAATTATGCTATTGGGAAAATATCTTATCGTAATAAGGACATTATTGGAGCATTGATGCTGTAAGGTGGAGAAGCTTGATGTATGTTTGTAGTGATTGTACTGTGAATGATTAAGGAAATTTATATTTTTCGTAGCAAATTCGACGAAACATATTCTGAATTAAAATTTGGTTATTTTTTAAGATAAATAATTTATTATTCATTTTCTAACGAATCTAAGAAAATGTTGAAGGTAAAGAGTAATTAATTAAGGTGCTTTAAATTCTAATTGATGTTATTTAATAATAAAATACGCTTCGTACAGTACGTTTATTTCTGTTTTCAAGCAATTACCAACTGAATATTTTGTGAATTACATCCATTCATTAAATTGATTACGATAAAAGTATACGTTGCAAATATTGAAAAACGAGAGAGTGCATTTTCTCGTCGATTAGTAATATTCCAATTATCGACGCGTAATTCTGATTTACATTGAGAGCATCCTGAATATTCGAGCGAATTTTTCTGCTCGTTTCGATATCTGATAAAAAGGGAAACGAGAATAATTTTCAATTTGATTTAGTCGTTGCTCGTGCACGTAGCACGCGTTCGTCGCAAATAACAGTCCACGCAGTTTGCGCAGCGCGACGCGCACGGTGTGTAATAACGGAAAATAAAATGGTGAAAAAGTTGATTGAACAATGGGATCACGTTATACTCGGTGTTCGTGGTTTCATAATACTCATTAATAAGAGAAAGAAAATTACGATTTAATGCGTCCGGTACTGGATCGATGTTACTGCAGGCACGAGTACGCAATTACTATGGAAACGCGAGTTCGAAACGTGATATTACCGGAAGACATTTCATGCCACATCGTACAGGTAATACTAGACTTGCGGTCTCACCGCGAATCTGCAGAAAAATCTTGATCCGAAGATTGATTAATCCTTGTTCACTTTTCATCGGACTAAAATTAGGACTTCACGATACCAGTAATCATATTCCATTTAATCGTTATTATGCTGTCGGCATTAACACTAGAACTACCGATCGTTTAATATGATTAATGGCCCTTATCAAAATTATAACGATCGATTTTTTTTCGTTTTCTTCGTACATTCGTTGGAAGTAGGTTACTGCAAACGTTTCGAGAATTTGACATTGTGTTCTTTAAGTTATTTTCGTAAAGCTTCACAGGTTTAAGGTCAAAATATGCTGACAGGGTATAATGGAAAATTGATTAATGTTGAAGAGGAATATTTTGAGAAACAATAAATCCCAAATTTATTTGTAACTTTCTTCATAGAGTTCCTGAAACTTTTGCAATTTTTCAAATCAGTTTGGATATTTAAAGCCCTTGAGACAATAATTGCAAAATAATAAAACCTGTCGTTTTGACGGGTGTAGTAGTTCTACTGTTAAAACTCTCATAAATATGTTTCAAATCTATTAACCGGTAAGGCCAAAACTTTTAACACGCTCCGTATCAATTTGCATTCTGTTTTCATTTTTTTGTTTTTATTTAAAAGACTACGTTATCTGAAAAATACATTTTCCTTGTTCTTTCTCACACTCAGGTACTAATTTTCTAATTAGAAACTTGAATAGCAAACTGTTTTTATATTGTAAACATTTCATCTTTCTTGTTTCTACATAAACAAGAATAAATAAGCTGAATTTAATGGTAACAATAGAGTTAGCGATCAATAGTGCTTTAAGATAAATTTTCAATCTTGGATTCGAAGAATCTAATAATAATTACCATGAGAAACCCTAAGCTGGGGAAAATAAATCAACTTTGACCTTTAAAACTGCCAACTCCCAATAGAAGCGCAATTAAAACTCTCCATCGCAGTTTAATTACCGGGCATTATTAACTCATCTTTCCGGTTCAAAGAGCTTGAAGTTCAATAATATATTCGATACAAGTATTTACATAATTCGATTAAAAATCAGGTGTCACACAATTCAGACAGGTCACATCGATATTCCAGTTACTCACCGAATTATGATCCCGTAGTTCAACGGGTGAATCCTGTATTCCAGGAGATCTCCGTGCGCAGCGTTCACAACCGCGGAATAAGACACTGTGATACACAAATACACTGTCCGGCGACTTCTTCAGTATCTGAGAAAGAGAAAGGAGTGTCGGTTGTTAATATTCTAATAATTGTATATATTCGTATTCATTAATGTTCATCGTTGCGCAAATTACTGCTGATCCTCGGTACAGAAACACCTCCGATAATAAGCACCTATTAATGTATTACAGCTATTACAAGAAATTAAGTAACCTTAAGAGACTATTAAAATAAATATCTTTCTAAAGTGATATCTTGAACTGTAAAGAATTTGTATATTCGATAAATTGGAAATGTCAATGAGTTTATGTGTAATAAAATTACTCCCCAATATCTAAACTTCATCAGAAAAAGTAAGTGTAATAACCCATCTTCAAAATAGCAATTCCATATTAATCAAATCAATGTTCATGTAGAACATTTGAAAAGGATGAAACTCTACATAAAATTAATAAAATTCAATTCAATCCTAACAAATTTCTTTATCTACGTAGGCTTAAATTTCACATATTTTCATCCGCAGAATCAGAAAATCGATGTTTCAACATTATTTTACAAACTAGGTCTCGAACATTATTAACCGTTTGCAATACGATTTAATTATGAAGAATTGTGCACGAAAGAAGAATTTTATTTTTATTAAAGAATACAATATGTTTCATTTCATGATTTTCACATTTTGTTAATTAAGAGAAAATTAATTAAAAGTAATCTAGCAAGGTACTACTAACTATCCACATTTTCTGCGTGTAAAAATATGTTACCTCTAACTTTAGTGGTATCAAGGGGGTAGCTCGTCATTACGGTTTAGCACGAAAAACTAATGACAAGCTATACTCGTCATTTT